TTGAAATTGAATCCAACAATTCCCTCCCTTCTTGATATTCTTATAATCGCAATGAAACCGATTTTAGCACCACTGTGTATGTAACCCTTTGCAGTTGTTTACCACCCATGCCAAGTCATGCCACCCTTTAAGCAAAAATGGCTTTTTTTCTATTAGTTTCCGCGCGCTAAAAGTTTGTTCCCTGAATCTTTGCTTACCAATGAACTTAATTATTGAGAGCAGTTGCGATTGACCGTGGATTTCTCCCCGTGATTATTGATAAGCCGTCAAAAATTTCAGATTCCCATCAAAGAAGACATTCCATGTTAGAAAATACAATGACCTTGTCGTGCTTCATTTTCCTTTGTAGCTATAAATTGCACGGATTCTCCAAAATTTCAATTTTCAATCGGTTATCCCCTATTATAAAATTCACCCTTCGATTCTAAAATTGCGTTTCTGTCTGAATTCTTGGGGAATTTTAGTATATCATGTGAGTGTGGTTTAAGATATATTGGCAAACAAAAAGAGCGTTGAAGTTTCGTATCAAGGAACATGAATCTATGTCAAAAAGGGGAAATAACAAGTCTTCAATAGCGATCAAGCTGGACTTTTAACCAAATTTTGGTTTTGGGTCTGCAAAATCATCCAAAAGGGTTCTTCCATAGGCGATTGGATTTCGTGAGGCTTTCACATTCACAAAGATTTAGAAAGTTTAGTAATGATTGAAGTCCACTCCAGTCCTTTCTAAGCCTTAAAATTTATGTCTTAATTCAATGTTTGCCGATAGATGGCGTTACCTCCTTGCACTTGGTACTACCAGGGGTATAAATCTGTTCAGTGCTTGCTTTCCATTATTTGAAGTTCAGATTTGAGCGTAAGGGCATGCCCCTCGCTCCCTATTTAACTTCGCTAATATTTTTTATGCTTGATCAGACAGCCTGGCCAGTAAAGTAGGGCCAGTGCAACTCTGATTAAAATCTGTTATAACCACGTGCAGTGCTGATAAGCACCAGTGTTTCGTGATTCCTATTTTCTTTCTATGTATTTCTTTCTCCTGATGAGGAGGACCTTAGCTGCCCTCGAAATCGATTGAGTGTTTCATTATACCTACGCTAAATATAAGGTTGTTTTTTACGATTTTGATTGTCACATTAGCGTGTTTCTCTTCTAGTCTAACAAAAACTATTTTGTGGAAACCCTAGTTAATGCATTTTCACTGAAAACTGACGTATTTTCGGACCGAAAATACCTCACTTACCTATGTACTATATACATTAGCTTACTAAATTGCCTCACTTACCTATCTATATAGGTTGTGAGGTAAAAATTATTATTTATGCATAGGCTTTGTTACTAATAATACCTTTTTCCCCCCTCATAGGAGACTTTGTAGTGCTTTTATCTACTGGACTTTCATTTTCCAAAGCGTTATGGATAAATTTCCTGAGTGGTTTGACCTGCTTTGTGGGCCTTTATATTGGGATCATAATTGGAGACGATGAAGTTGCAAGGAAATGGATAATGGGAGTTACAGCTGGAATTTTTCTGTATGTTGCCCTAGGAGAAATGGTATGCAGGCTTTGTAATTTTACGATTACAGAAATTGTATGCAAAATAGTCTTGATAATTATCAGAAATATTTTTATTTTTAATGCTAACAATTAAAATGTTGTTATTGTCTTATTATTGATGTGTTAAGTTATCCAGTGAATCTTTGATTCATGAACTTGATTCGTTTCAGAAGATAGTTCATTATTCGAAATATCCATAAACTGTAATAATTTTTTACGTGTGAATCAATGTAAAGGATGAATTAATCCGTTCTTGGATCCCAGTGCTTGCTTAGAGTAATTTGTATGTTTGTTCTTAATGCAAAACCAATGGAATTCTTTAATCAAACATTTGAATTAAATTTTAGTATAGCTCTACGAAGGGAAGTTGACCGTACAGGAGTAGGAAGTGATGAAAAAGGTACAATATGTTATGGTTTGAAAGGGGAATCGTATTCTGTAAAAGTATTTTGTGCTGCTGTCTTTTTTGGATTTTTGTCTCTTTTAAGCATCATTTCCATCTACTAAAGAATCGTGAGTTGTCCTGTTTAGAAATTTCTCCATTGTGTGCTGTTTCTGTGTATATTTTAAACTGTTTCTTAACCAAGACACAACATTGTTCATTGCAAATATTTATGTTACGGTTTACAACTACTTCATCAGGATTATAATGTCTCTGTCAACCTTTGCCGCCCAGGCGAGAAAGTGGTTAGTGACTCTGACTGCCGTACCGAAAGGCCGGTGTTCAAATTACGGAGATGGCATGGATGTAATTTGTCCGTCTCTTCACAGGAGGCAACAGTGGTCCATCTATTATTTACCTGCATAATAAAGTGACCAGCACTTCAGGCCTTAGTAGTGGCCAACGTCTATAAACGGCTAGAGCCCGCCAATGAAAAAAAAAAAAACTTTGCAACTTACTCCATTTTCCATATATTTCGATGATTAAATAACTAGGAAAATCTGCCTTCTTCTTCTGAAGAAAATTTCTTCGACTGTATAAACCACATTCTAGAGTATCATTTGTTGCTAGCTTATTTGTCGGCATCTCGCAAGGCCGACGAGAACTAGTACAATCTGTGCAGCCAGTACCAGATTTACATATAAGCTACAATAGCTTAACACCCCTAAAAAATTGCCCCATATCCCTTATAAAGGACCCTATATCTCAAATAGTGCAGCCGCAATGGGCAAAAGAACTAAGGGGCGGCAAAATTTTACAAATTTAGAGAGGCACTGAGCAGAGACCACACTGGGGACAAAAAGCCCTTTTATCTCGAGATTATTATTCGTCAGCAAAGACAGTTTTCATTTGGTAAATTTGTTTATGATCCAAGGTTCCACTAACTGGGTTAGCTAGAAATCACTGAAGCCTGGCTCTGATACCTCTCATTTTTTTACCAAAACACAATACGTAGTTAGTATTGCGTTTTGGCCTCATGCAAAATAGGCCCAGTACTTTATATAATTGAATTACAATACTAGTACATTGACACTCATGTGAGTGTAAACTTCACTTTTCTTTTGAAAGAGCAAAATAGGAGGAGAACTTGAAAAGATCTACCCTTTTCGAACTGCTATATTATCAGAAAGGGGAATATTTATGGACTCTACACAAGTGGTCAAGAAAGCTTTAAATGAATTAGAAGCCCAAATAAGGAAGCAGTTTTAACTAATTGCAAAGAATACTGTTTGAAACCTTTCTTTTGTGCTCGATGAACCATGTTTTGTTATCATTAATTTCTTCACCTTTTTTTTAATTCCATTTCATAGTTAGGATGTGTTTATATTACTTAATTTATTATTCAGAAAATTAATCCTTAATTTATATTTATTTGTAAGCATGTTTATTTTTTAATTTATTTTATTTTTTAACTTTATTTTATTATTAATGTTATTATAATTATTTTTTCAATTGTGATCCTAATTCAAAACCAAGGTTAGTTCTAATATTATAATTAACAGAATTATAATTAACAGAAAAATACTACAGTACAAAGTCCGAGACACGAACTCGTCGGGGCTTTGGGATTTTTCCCGAACGTGTGATGAAATCTAGTAAGAGGAAATTTAGAAATTAAAAAATTAAAAATATGAAATAAAGAAGAATTTATGACTTTAAGGGAACCAAAATTTAAAAACAGAAATCGGAACTCTCCACATTTTATTAGGAAAGAATATCAAATGCACAAGCGAAAAACGTGAAAAAAAAGTTTTAAAAAAAACAAAGGGAACTGATGATCCAGAGGTCCGAATTTTTGATCATTCTGGATATTGGACGATCGGATTTCGGACTTTATACTGTATTAACGATGTACTTGTATTTTCAAATAATTTAGGTTGAAGCATAAGTTCAATTGGCTGTTCAAATTAAACCAATATTCAAAATTAAATGGAAATGCTGCAAATAATGAATATTATTAGAAGCAAAGAAACTATATTTTGAGAAGAGTTGGCATGTAATAGTGGCTGCACACTTGACTTATTTTTTGTCACTGAATGAGTTAATTTTAATGGATGATTTAACAATTTAATATATTATTAAATTGTTATAATACACTGCTGGCCACCGTAAATGCAACACCCTGAAGGAAGCATGCAAATAACATGAAATTTACAACATGCATTAGCGGAGTGAGATAGCAAATGATTAGAATTTCGCGCAACCACATCATGCGCGCCTGTGGCGCCACTTCAAGCAAATTTAAGCTTGGAGTTTTCGACGATGTAGATGTCGCTCCTTGTGTTTTTTGTGTTTTTTTGTTTTTTTTTTTTTCAAAAAACGATCAATTATGCCTCTTAGTAACAGCTAGCACGTTTGATCAGATCCAGGATAGAGAGGATAGTGGCCTACCGAGAGTGGATATCTTTCAGGGAAATCGGTAGTCATTGGACGAAACCAAAACTGTAATGCGGATATGTGAACCGTTGGATGCAGGAGGGAACGACCGACCGACATGTGGTCGCATCCACCTCAGTGCACCATTTCACGTGATGACAGAACTTGTGCCATGGCAATGACGGAGCTCATCACATCACGACCATAGCAAAGCAATTCAATCTGTAACGCATCATCCAGTGTCTGCGCATACCTTCGACGCCGTTTACAGCTGTGGTCTGTCTGCAAAACGTCCATTGCGGTCTCCGTGACGCAGAACCACAGAGTCTCCGCCACAATTGTGCGATGAAGAAGATTGAACGGTAGAATGAATGAAATTGTCTTTACTGACGAGTCACGCTTTGTCGCAACACCACGATGGTCAATTCGAGTCTGGAACACCGCGAGAGAGGATGCGAACAGCTGCGTTATGCAACTCCACACTGGTCCTGCACCAGTATTATGGTATGGGGGCGGTATTGGATACACTCTCGCACTCCTGTAGTACGCATTGCCGGTACTTTAAACAGCCAGCGCTACACTCCGAGGTGTTGGAGCCATTGTCCTTCCTTACCTTCAGGGCTTGCCCACACCTATTTCAACAGATAATGCGCAACCCATTGCACACATTGTCCAAGGATTCTGGTCATCGCCAATTGAAATGCTTCCTTGCCGCTCGCGCTCCGGATCTTTCGCCGATAGAAAACATGTGGTTCATGTTGCTGACGATTGACCCAATTATATCCCAGGCTACCACACCAGATCAACACTGCACGTGTGGAACTGCTTGGTCTTCTGTACCCCCAGAACACATCCAAATCTCTTTGAATCAATGCCGAGGCGTGTGGCTGCGGTGATCTCCAATAATGACGGCTACTCTGGCTATTGATTTTGGAAGGAACCACACTTCACAGAAGTCTATAAATTTAATCATTTGATACTTGGTCAACATGTTATCTACTAAATAAATTTTGTTGTGATATCTCTTGTCTTTCTTGGTGTTGCAATTTGGGTGGCCAGCAGTGTATAATGTACTATAGATTATGTAATTTAAATTGTTTACTGTCCCATTTCTTAAATAAATTCCGTCAGAATTGGGCCAAATTAGTTTTGTTGTTGAAGAAGAAGGACGATGGCAATTATCGAAACTGATAATGTTTTGCATAATATCTACACTAAAGTAAGGCTGCTGTTTAAACTAACATTGAGTTTTCCACTGGTGTGTTTGTCTTGTGATTTGAACTCACAAATGCCATCTGCTACCACTGGAAGCCTTTACATTTTCTATAAATAGTTTTGTTTTACGCTGATGATTTGTAATTCTTGGGGGGGGGGATTTGGGTCCAGTTAATTGTTGATTTTAAAATTTAATATTACAGCGTAATTGTATTATTGAAAAAAATTATGTCACTTAAAAGTTATTTTTTTCTTTGTAGCTTCCAGAACTCAGAGAGCATCAACATGGGAGTCCTGTAAAGATGCTTTTAATAAAAAACTTAGGCATATTAGCTGGAATAACAATCATGCTTGTAATATCGATCTATGAACACGATATTGTTTGATTATACAAAAGTGAATACTAGTGCATATCAAACTATGATGCTTTTACGCATGTATAATTTTGTGCAGATAAAAGACTGCCATGCTAAGTCTTCCAGTTCACTGATGGTGATATTATACGCTGCAGTAAATATATCACAGCAGAATCTTAAATTATCTGGGCAAAATTATATGATTTGTTTTAAATATGAAATGTGATAAATGTATTAATTACTGTGACAGTAAATGTTGTATAGTTAAGTAATGCATATTTGTTTATGGTCTGCAATGATATTCATGTTTTAAAAGCATGTTTTATTTTTATTAAAGATATAGATTTAGCTTTATTTTACTAATATATGATAAAAAATCTTAAAATCTCCAGAATGTTATGACAGAGTTGGTTGACATTCCAATGATCAGAATCCATTTCATTTTTATCACAACTTATCATATTATTTTAACTTATATGTTGTACACACTTCCATCTACCATTTTATGATAACGGTCACAGAACTCACATATTTGTGTTTGGTAGCTTGTAGAATGAGAGTTTTAGTCCCAACATGAACAAAATTTAGAATGAACATTCCTTCCAAAATAAAGTTTTAGATGTAAAGGAAGCATGCCAACTTGAAATTAGTCATTAATGAACCTGAAAATGCCGTTAAGTTTTCGCATGTCGTTTGAGAGAATGTAAGTTTCACGATGCCTGCCAAAAACATAGCGGAAGAAAATGTCTTGGAGAAAACAAAGCAAGGCAAAAAGATCATCGTACCAAAAAAAAAAAAAAAAAAAAAAAAAGGAGAAAATAATTTTCTCTCAGAAATGCAAAGAGTATAGAACATTGTCGAAAATAAAGCGGTTCAAAAACATCGTCGTAGAAAAGACCGGGGTAAAAAAGAAAGCTCCTACAAATCATTGCATGACAATAATATTGCAGACATATGTTTTTTAAGCTTTAAAAGTTCTAAATGTATATTCCCATAATGATTTATGAGAGCAAGAAGGAATGAGGAACATTGTTAATTCTATAGGTACTTTTCTGTTATCGTGACTGGAGTCTGAAATGTAGGTAGGCATGGATGTGTGTGTTCATGTATGCATATATAAAAGTATGCATGTATGTGTGTGTGTACACAAAAGAGTACCGTTCTATATTTCATATTTTTTATATAAGTAGTATTTTTTGCTAAAAACGGCAAGAAGGAAACTTAAGCATTCAAAAATTGAAAGTGAACTAGTTATTTAAACAACTTTAAGTAAACTGAACTAATTAATTAAACAGTTTTAATATAGGTTATTTCATGCAGTTACTTGTCTTCCCTTTTCTAATCTTTTTTAAACTATAATTTTCTTGAAAACTACCAGGACACCTTTATAAAAAGAGGTTAATTAAATAATGAGCTTTAATAATTAAATACATAATTTTGAAGTTCTAATAACTGTTATGCATAGCACTGATGTTAAACTCATTTTCACTTTTCAAATTCTTAAGTTTCCTTCTTACTTTTTTAGCAAAAAAATTAATTAATCCCAAAATACGAAATATTGAAGTAAAAGCATTCTTCATTCCTTCTTGCACTTACAAACTATTATGAGAATATATGTTTACAACTTTTATTTCCTGAAAAGCACGTGTCTGCTATATTATCATGATGTGATCATTTCGTAGGTGCTTCATTTTTTACCACGATATTTTCTACGACAATGTTTTCTGTTTGCTTTCTTTTCTTTCACTATGTTTTGTACAATGGTGATTTTGCCTTGCATTGTTTTCTCCGCGACGTTTTCGCCTGTAACCGGGTCTCTCTTCTTCAGCCCCTAATATTTTGTAATTAAAGAGCAGCCCCTAATATTTTCTTTTTCTGAAATATGGATGAATTAATGTTATGTAGTCTTATATTATTACTTAAGAAACATTATACTACCAGAAAGTTTGGAATTCATGCAGAACCGCTTTTAAACATTTTGCTGCCCTGTTCAATTAATCTCTGTGGGTTCTAAATTATATTGCCCAGCACCACTCTAAATTCTAAGCATTTTGCCATCTCTAAATTTTGCTGTTAAAGCCTAAACATTTTTGCTGCCCATAAATTGTGCTGCTAGGTGCAACCACATGTGTTGTATAGGCTCTGGTGCCGGCCCTGACTTAATGTTAAATTTCGTAGAGACTTTTTGTCTTCCAACAAAAATGAGCTTAAATTTTTGCATTTGTTTATAAAGATGTGCCCTGTACTGAAATTAAAATATTAAATAAATAACATTACATATATTTTATCAACACTCATGCATGTTCCAGAAGTTATTGAAATAAATTGCTTCACAAATGTAACTCAAGAAATGATTGCACAGGGCTTTGACCTAACATCGTACTTACAATGGAATGTATCCAATTAAATAATTATTACCAATAAATAACAAATACTACTCTTATTTAGAATTTCAGTTGTCCTCTTAAAATTCTTGTCCTTTATTTTTAAGGTGCAGGCACTTGTTCCTTTGTAATTTATTACTTGTACATCTGTTTATTTATTTGTGTATTGATATTTATTTATTCATGGATAAAATTTATAGCAATTTTTTTAAACTAACATGCTTATTTAAAAAGAAACTGGCTTTAGGTATTGATAAGCCCTTTTGAAAATTCTTTATAGAATTTTATTTAAAAAAAAATCCGATATTAAACTTCTTTAAAATCCTTTAGGATTAAAGCCTAATTTTCTATAAATTAGATTAGAATTCTATGCAATTTCAGATATATTTTCTATAATCTATATATCTACACACCTATAGAATCTGTATACGTAGAGATTCTATAGATGTGTAGGCATATAGTGATTTGAGCAAAGCTTCTGTAAAAAGACAGTACAGTTTTTAAAGCTTTCACACATCTTGCATAATGTCTATAGGATCAACGAATATAATTCTACTGAAAATATCAAATCCAGTATATGGAAAAATGGGCTACAATCCTAACTAATTCAAATATGTTTGTTTCCATTAATTTTCAATAAAAGATCCTATTTGAGTGTTTAAAAACATTATAAAATCAACAAAGTTTTCTTTTGGGAAAAAAAAAGAATGAATTACGTTTCCATTTTTTTACAGAATTTGTTCACCTTTTACTAAATTTTGAAATTATCTGTGATATGGAAAGGCTTTTAGAACAGGTGGAAATATGTAAATAAAAGTAAATACATTTTAAATAATAATAATTCTTAACTAAAAGTAACAAACCATTTGTCTTATCAGGAATACATATACAAAAACTAAAAGTATTAATTTCAGAAATTAAAATTTATAATTAACAGCATAGATTTAATCTTTTTAATTAGTTTTATGATTTAAACTGATTTTATGCTTTTATGAGATTTAACTTTTGTATTATGTAAGCAACACAATAAAAATCGCAGTACAAATTGTTACATAAATTTAGAAGCTAAAATCATTAAGCTAGAGGAGGGAAAAATGGAAAATTTGCTCTAAAAAATGATTCAGTATTTATGAACAAAACATGTTTATTTTTCTTCTTTTATAGCCCGTATTATCAGGAAATAAACATTTGTTTTGATTCCAGTTTAAAAAAAAAAAAAAAAACAGATATCTGTGGATTATCATTGTAAAACGCTTTATAAAATTTTTATATGATTTTGCAAAACAATATTTCTGTAAAATTTTGTTCTGTGGAAGCTTTGTAAAATGTCTACATAATTTTATAGAATAGCATTTCTGCAGAATGTTATAAGATTTCTGTATTCCTGTAGGAATTTCAATAAAGTTCTGTCAGCCTTTTTGAAGAAATTCCTAGATACATTACAATGGGCATAATGTGTATCGTTTTCAGAATAGAATTATTTTTTAATATTGAGCAGTTAGAAATGTATAATATTTGTCACTAATATTTTAAATAAAGATTTTTTTTTTTTTTTTTGCATCAAATTAAAAATTTGAGTAGAATATTAACGCTGGCTTATTTAGGTGTACTATTCAAGCTGTTGAATATTTAAATCTAGAAAAAGTAATTTAATTTGAATATTTGTTTTATCATTTTAATAATGATATATTTGTTTTATCATTTTAATAATGATAAATCTTAATTTTTAACTTGGTGAAGTTTCATTTGCTAACTAACATTTCTGATTATGAATTTTTTCTTAAGCTTCATCTAATTAAGTAAGAAAATGTTTGCTTTAAAAAGTTCTAGGTTTTGAGGTTTTTATGCACACATTCATAATATTTCTAATTCAACATTATTGAATCAGACATGAATAGTAGATGCAGCAAATTAGGTGTAAAATTTTCTTTAAAATTGCTTCGTTTTTATCAATTTATAGTCTTTCTTAGTTTTGATTTTTTAATGTATTAAACTTAAGTAGGATATCTAAAAGATTGTGTAAAATTACATAAAAGTAAAAAATTCAAAATTCTGAAAAATAAATCTCTAGAACAATAGTTTTAAAATATAGCTAATTTTTTATGTTTAATGATTATTTTGAAATTTTTAAAGTCTGAACTTTTGTAATGTAAAAAATATTAAATAAATTCTTTGTTGTTTTTCTTGTCACTGGTACAAACTAACTGTATTGGAGAGGATATATTAAAGTAGCAGGTAAGCCTATTACCCTTTAATAAAATCTAAAAAATTCTGTATCCGTTAAGCATAAGCTGATTAGGAAGTTTAGTGTATTTTTAATAAAAAGTTAGCATTGTTTTGAAAATTTTCATGAACAACTAACAAGCATTTTTACAACTCAATTAAATTTTTTAGAAGCATTTGAGTATTGTCTTTATTTATTCATTTCATCAATTCTTGTTTTTTTAGTTCTTTTCATTTCATTATTTATTTGGTGCAATACATTGCAATTTACTAAAATGCTAGTGAAGTATATTTTTATAAAATTATTCCACATAAATATATCCTGTAGTTATTTTTCTTATGCTACTCTATTTTCATTTGTTATTTTTCTTTTGTTTCACTCCAAATTTTATACATTTTACTAGCATTCATGAAATTTACAAAATCTTATAGCATTTGAGATTGAAGCAATTAAAAATAAATATTTTACTTCCAGAACTTTTGAACTGTGAATTGGGAAAATATTAATTAATTCATGTAATACCAATAATTATTGCATATGGTAGCCCTTCAACAGAAGTGATTTGTGAATTATTTATTACTCTTATTGAATGAAGTATTGTCTACTTAATATTTAACACTGAATTTTTAACTAAACAGGCGAAATATTAGTTGAGTACTTTTCAAACAATAGATGGCTCTAAAGAATTCCATATTTGTTAAATTTAATACATTATAAAATATTGCAGAATCGGTAATAACTTATCTTTTAGGATGTTTTTATATATTTAAAATACATAATGTAGGTAATGTACATGATTCCCATAATGAAACTGTTTTCAAAGTGAAATGTTGAGAAATAAAGAGTATGTAATATCTGACATTATTTAAATACAAAACGTTTCCATAGTTATTTAAATTTTAGAACTGGGTAAATATGAACTCAGAAATGTGATTAAATAAATTTTCAATAAAACTTTTTAAAATCAAATTAAAATTTCAAGTAGAATTACCTCTGGCCTATTAACACTAACAAGAAGTAAAGCAAGTTCTTTCATACTCTGAAATTATTTGAATGATTTAAGAGAAAATTTCGGTGTATGTAATTTAATTGGAAATTTTATTCCAAGTGTTACATTAAAAAATATCAAGTTATGAGCATATTAATTTACATATTTCTTAATTTCACTATCTGTGTCAGATATTCACTTTAATCAAGTTTTATATATATAGTACATATATGACTTATAGTACATATAGCAGAAATCAAGCATAATTTGACTTACATTGTGACTGATGTAATTTAAAAAGATTTTTGCATGTTCCTAAACAATGAAATTTTAGTGTTTTAGGTTTAAGGTAAACTTGCAATGATTTTCATAATTTTATTGTTATGTCTAGTCTTGTTTTAAAATTTTCTTTCATGAAATGCAAATTGTTTTTGTTCTGCATTTGTAAATATTCTTGTAATGTAGTTTAATGCATCATGTTTGTTGAAACTAATGCAATATATCAATAAAGTATTTTACTTGAATAAAACGGAGTTCTTTGCATTTTTTAAAAAATTGTAAGTTTTAATGAAAATTATGTATTTAATAATTACCATTTATAATTAGGGCAATTAATATTTAGTACTAAGTTTTTAGTATCAAAGATATTCAAATGCCGTCCAGCCGGTATAGTGGTTAGCGACCTTGACTGCTGTAGCGATGGGTCGGCTTCGAATCTTTGAGAAGCCATGTAACTGTCCATCCCTTCATAGGAGGGAACCGTGGCCACCTATTAGGTGCTTCCATAATGAAATGGTCACCACTTTCAGCTTTTGTAGTGGGCTAATGGCTATTAAATAAAGCGTCCGGCCATTTCAAAACACATATTCAGCCACATGCTTCTTTTATAATTTTTTATAAATGTTCTTCTATTTACTAGGAAGCATGTGGCTGAATATATAATAACAACGTTTGCAAATGCAAACGTTGGCACAAAACTACTAGGTGAAGACAACCCTAACTATACGCAAAATTCATGGAAAGAAAATGAATTTATAATAACAGTAATGTATCAGACAATATAATATATATAGTGTATAATGTACACATTTCACAGAAAAATAGGATGGACAGTTCTATACTGTTCTTTACTGGGCTATTTGAGTTTGATTAAATTTAACTTGCGTTTTTTATGTCTCGAATGCCCGAATTAGGATGTATGTTAGATTTATACATCGCGCTGTTCTAACATAGGTATTCTGAAACAAAATCGGACTTTTTTACATAGATTTCTGGAGTGATATTTCTATATATTTTTTCCTATTTCGATTCTACCGCTCAAATTATGCCCAAGTTTTGTAAAAATCGCGCGAATAGTTTTTTAAAAAATCAGCTCTCAAACTAGGTTACTGAAACCTCCTTATTGTTAATTCAATTTTGTATATATTTATTATAATAGCTCTTTTTTATTATTAAACTTACTTGATTCCTCCTTTCATAATTCGAAATTTAGGTTCAATCCAAATAAAATTCGTAGCTATTCTTCTTATTTTTTTTAATTTGTATTTTTTAGTAATTTTTATAAATTTTTCGAAAAGTTTTCAAATTAACCTATAAAATGTTTGCGATCATCTTAAAGTAGATGTATTTCTAAGCTACCTGAAAGAAATAAGAGCGTTTTATTCAAAATTTCCTAAGATATACGTGAAATGACATTCTGGCGCGTTCAGAAATTTTGCATTTTTGCTTTAAGAAATAATAACGGCAAATGAGGTTTATGCTCTTTGTTAAAATTTTTTGAAAGAATGAATGATGTACGTTTTTTCTGTTAGTTCACAATGGAAGGGAAAGGAAAATAGGTTATCCTAAATTAAGAATTTTTGTCAAGGGAATTATGCTTGGTGCAAACCAAAAAAAAGTGCACCAAGATAAATTTTTGAATATCTCGGTAAGTTTCCTACCAAATTTTATAAAATTTAATATTTAGGTATAATCTAAATCTCAGAATCGAAATACGTAAAAAAATGCATACCTTGTTTTAGAAAAGGCCCGATTTTGTGTCAAAATAGCTATGTTGAAATAATGCTATACATAAATCTAATATAAACCCTAAGTCGCGCTTTCGAGACATGAAAAACGCAAGTTTAATTTCATCAACCGACCCAGTAGAACGGGAGGTATACAACTGTCTTTTTTTTTTTCCCCTCAGAGTGTACGTAGTGGTGAAGGTGTGCGCAGGGCCGAATTTGTGAGGTTCTCTCCATGTACACTGCTCAAAAAAAAAAATGGGACAGTGCTATATCTCCCGTTCTACTGAGCCGATTGACAAAATTCAAATTGCGTTCTTCATGTCTCGAAAGCGCGACTTAGGATATATATTAGATTTATATATAGCACTATTCTAACATAGGTATTTTGACACAAAATCGGACTTTTTCTGAAATAACATACCAATTTTTTTACATATTTCGATTCTACGACTCAAATTACGCCTAAATATGAAATTTTGTAAAATTTGGAGCGAAATTTACGGAGAAATTCACAAATTTATGTTGGCACTTTTTGTTCAGTTTGCGCCAAGAATAGTTCACTTGGCGAACTTCTTAATATATGGCAACCTAGTTTCCTTTCCCATGAGAGGAAAAAAAGTCACCATCATTCCTTTTTTCCAAATAATATTCTTTATATAATTTTTTTAATTATAACTGTTATTATTTTAAGTAATTTTTTTTTTTTTTCGAATTTCATTTTAATTGTTTAAGTTGCATTTTTTTTTTTTCGAATAACTGTTTTAAAAATTTCTATTTACCTATTCGAAACTGCGTCAAATAAAGGTGCAGCGTTTATTTTTTTTTCAAATAGTTTTCTTTATATATATTTTTTTGTCATAGTTATTATTTTAGGTAATTTTTAAATTTTTATACTTTTATTTTAATTGTTTTGTGTTGCATTGTCTCTTCAGATAATTGTTTTAAAAATTTTCTATTTATTCCTTCGAACTGAGCATTTTAAATATATTTATTAATATAAAT